AGAGGGGCAACGAGGGTTTCGGCGCTCACCCTCGGAGATGCCATGCGACTCTTGGTGCGTAGCCGGTTGGAGGTGAGACACATGTTCGAGGTTGGTCAACAACATAGGGTATAACGGCTCCCTGGTTCTTAGCAGGGAATGGGGGAATGGATCCCTAACAATAGCCCGGTCTGCTATAGTAGTCCCAATAGCCCATTCCCCCATTCCTTTACAAAGAGCCAGAGGGACGAGTTTGTGTGGGGAGCCTAGTGTCGAGACTCTAGCAGGATGCGACAGCTTGTCGTCGAAGTATGGTGTTATCCAGACAAACTTTGGACACGCTCCGACGTTGCTAGGGTGGAGGTTATATACAATTAACGAAAAGGCTTCGAAAGCAGCAAAAGTGTTTCGGCCACGACAAATCACCGCTCTTGGGTGTGTCTCGTACTGGCACTGCGACTGCTCCAGAGGTTTAGGGTTTGGGGAGGGGTTTAAGGTTCAGGGTTTAGGGTCTGGCTTTCAGATTGCAAGGCTTACGCTTTAGGACTTCTTGCGATGTTCAGGGCTTCGGTTTCTGCTGTGGCTTCGCATGTGATGAAGGGGCCTTGGGATGCTTTTATCCTTTTTGGGTTTAGGTGTTCGTTAGGACTTCAGACTTATCGGGTTTGGGATGTGGGGATTCGGGATTTAGGGCTTAGGATACCTGCTTACGATTGCCGAGGGCGTGTCGGGCTGAAAGTCTATGGCTTGAGATGGGCGGTTCAGGGCCCTAGACGGGCTTGGGTTGGGAATCGGGGTGTGCATGTACGCAAGCATGTGTGCACGCACGTATGAAGGCAAGTCCATGCAGCCGTTGCCCAAACACCCCTACAGCCCAAGCATCGGAAACCCTAAAACCTAAAACCCTAAACCCTAAACCCCTAAACGGCCCTAAACCCTAAAGCCCTAAAACCCTAAACCCTAAACGGCCCTAAACCCTTTCATGACTCCTTCCGAGAAGCTTCAGCTTCGGGGACTTGACCAGCTTGGAGAACTCCTGGTCTCTCGCTTGGGGGTTCCGAATAGCCTACCTCCGGTTAGAAGGGAATGGAAGAATGGTAGTAATGGTACTTATAATAGTTCCCATTCCTCCATTCCCTACTAACCAAAGGTAAGATAGAACAATGCGGAAATCATGGCTCTCACCGTTATGATCATGGAGTGTTTGCTGTCATGGTACAAGCCCCCTTTGCCCCTAACAACCGAAAGACCCTAAACGGCTAAGCCCCACACCACATGTTTTCCAGAGAACCTTCACCACTCCTGCTGCGAGTCCCCCTTAATGGCTACCTTACCCCCCAAAATAGCCTACCTTTTTTAAAGACGGACATAAAGGGAACCAATGACAACGGCACCCTTTAAAGGTAGGCTCTTTGGGGTTAGACGCTAGGGCCTCCAGGAGATCCCGGAGAGGGCGGGGGAGGGGCGGGCTTGAGCCAAGGTTTGGGGCGACAAAGGAGGGGTGGGGAACGCGAAGAAGACTCCACCAAACCCCCGAAATCCCCCATCGAAACCTTTTTTTTGAGCATCGAAACCTAAACCCCTAAACCCTGAACCCTAAACCCTAAACCCTGAACCCTTTGAAGTCTTTAGGGCTCAGGGCTTACACTCTCGCAACTCGGACAAACCTCGCCTGGATATTGTCAGAGTGTACACCCTGAACCCTGCAACTTCAAACCGAAACCCTCCTATATGGGAATTTCCGAAAATTGGGGGGTACCTTCTTTTGGGGGTCCTTATAATAAGGATCCTTCTATTCGGGGTACTATGTTAGGGTCCCCTATTTTCGGAAGCCCTCATATATATGCAGTATATCAGAAGGCCATCCAACGACCCCTAAACCCCAAACCCCCAAACCCTAAACCCCTAAACCCCTAAACCCCTTACCCCTAAACCCATAGCCTCCAGGTTGATCGCACCGTCGCCCGAGAAGTCCATGGTCTGGAACAGCTTCTTCACCTGGCCCCACATGCCAAAAGAAAGCCTGAAGAGGAAAAGATTCCCTCTTACACCCCAAACCCGAAACCCTAATCCTAAACCCCTAAACCTTCTCTCTCTCTCTCTCTCTCTCTCTCTCTCTCTCTCTCTCGCGGACTTCCTAAACCCTACACCCTCTTACTAAGGTTAGCGTTTACGGTTTCGGGCTTGGGGAGCCTGAAGAGCATAGTACGGGGGTTCAACCAGGCGGTGAAAAGCCCAAGAGGTCATGTTGGTGCTTTGCCGGATGTTGCAAGGGTGTAGGAATGATCAATCACAGTATCCCCTTCGAGTCTCTTCTATATGGGTAGTTTTCTAAATTAGGGTCCCATTTTAGGGTCCTTTTCATAAGGGTGCAGTACTATTTGGGTGCCGAAAAAGGGGCCCGAATTAAGAGAACCCAACGGGAGAACACTTGGGTACTGCCCCCATACAGTAGCAGTCTGTAATAGGTGCATATTGTGACTATATTACCCGACTGTTACTGAGTGCGGGCAGTATCCAAAGAACAACAAAACACACAAATCCAAACCCCTGGAACCCCCGCAGCTCGATGACCTGTGCTTGCTATGCTACATGTGTTTACTGCAGCACGATGGAATTACTCCATAGGGCTCCTTCTTCTGATTGTACTATAAAGTCTATAGATGAAGGAGACCGACAAAACCCTATCTGGGTTGTAGTTTTGTGGCCGTGGAAAGCACTTATGAATACCTCTCTTTAGAAGCCGTAAGGGAAAGTTTTAAAAGTTTCCCAAACTGACACCTAGCTATTCTAAACCCTAAACCCTAAACCCCTAAACCCCTAAACCCCCAAACCCTAAACCCTAAATGGACTCAGAGTTGGTTTAGGGGTTTAGGGTTTAGGGCCAAGGATTGCGTTTGGGGCTTCGGTTTAGGCTTTCGTGCTCCAAGTTCGCAAGCATCAGGAGCCACTAAGAGCTCTGACGGAAGTGACTTCCGAAGAATTCAGCTGATCCTTATCACCTGATGCTGTGCTTAGTCGTGGTAAATTAATTATGGCCACCCAAAAGGCCCTCAAGACGGGAAACCTCCCCTCATGTCCTCAAACCTAAACCCCGCTAAAGTCTATCCCAGACCCTAAACCCTAAACCCTCCTAAACCCTAGACCCTAAACCAAAACCCTCAACCCCTAAGCCCCTAAACCAAAAACCCTAAACCCTAAACCCCTAAACCCTACTAAAATCTCTCTGTCATGTCCGAGACAAAGCGCCAGCTCTACACCGCTGCAGTCGAGGGGGAAGACCTGAGCCCAGGTTGACCGCCCCCTGCTTGCTGCCGTAATTTTTGGGGGGTTTAGGGTTTTTGGGTTTGGGGTCTAGGGGTTTAGGCTTTTGGGTTTGGGGTTTAGGGGTTTGGGGGTTTAGGGGTTTAGGGGTTTAGGGGTTGGGATTTAGGGGTTTAGGGGTTTNNTTTAGGGTTAGGGGTTTAAGGGTTTAGGGGTTTAGGGGTTTTAGGGTTTTAGGGGTTAGGGGCCTTGATCATTAGAATGGGGTTTTTGGGCTCCGTTATAGTATACATACACAAAGGAACCCTAAGGAATAAAAATGGAAATAATTTAGGCTTCTATCTTATCTGCACTTCTTGCTTAGGGGCTTTCGCCTTTGCACTACATGCGCGCAGTCTCCTGCTGACATTTTGGTAGCGGCTCTTGTGCGCCACTGGGCGCCTTGAGCTTCCAAACTCCAAAAACACACACCCAGGATCCAAGTCTAGCTGTTAAGGCCCTGTAAGGAAAACCTTATACAGCCATTCTATGGGTTTAGGGTTTACGGGTTTAGGGTTTAGGGCTTAAGGTTTAGGACAAGCTTTGCTGTGAAAAAAAACCCTCTGCGAACTCGTCTGACTCTAGGACTCCCGTACACAACGGTAACACAACCCGCCGAGCGGTTTAGGGTTTAGGGGTTAGGGTTTAGGGTTTAGGGTGAATGGAATCCAACAGAGGGTACGGCGCCCAGGCTTCTGGGATTCAGGTTCAGATGCAGCGGGGGAGAACGATTCATTCCATGGTCTTATATGGGTAGCTCACTAAATTAGGGTCCCTTCTGGGGCCCTTTTTATAAGGGTGCCGTGCTCAAAGAGGGACCCTAATTTCGGCAACTGCCTATATGCTGTCAAACATCCAAAACAAGCTACGTTTGCACATGGGCGATGCCTGCCAGACTGCCAAAAAGCCACAATTACACGGGACAAAGAGACTCAGGGGAGGTACTGTTGATGATATACGTCCTGCACCACTTTAACGACCCAAACTATGGGATTTATGGTATTATTATGGGTAACGCAGGGCTTATATCCTAAACCCTAAACCCTAAATTGGCCCTAAACCCTAAACTGGCCCTAAACCCTAAATTGGCCCTACACATCAACCGTAGTGAGCAGGCTCTGGGCTCAAGAAGCTTTGGGGTTTAGGGTTTAGGGTTTTTTGGCCTCCCACCTTGCTAGGACGAGCCCGCATTGCAGGGTACAATCTGACTGACATTGGGGGCATACACTTAGGGTTTAGGGTTAGGGTTTAGGTGGACAACTTTGGGCTTCCAGCCTGATCTGTCAGCAGCGTGCGTGGCGAATGCTTGCACAACTGAATGCCCATGTCTAAACCCTAAAACCTAAACCCTAAAACCTAAACCCTAAACTCTAAACCCGAAGCTCGAAACACTCAATTGAATCCTGAACTGCTGGACCTCCGAACCATAGCCCCGAAGCCCAAGCGCAGGGCTTTTGCAATATACTTAGGCCTGAATGCTGGAATAAGGTTTGCGGGTGTACTCTAACACAACTATCAAAAGCCGCCCAATAAAGTTCAGTATTGGGGTTTGGGGTGCTTTCTTAAGCAAAAGTGACGTGCCGTCAGGAATAGCAATCGCGACTTTGAAGGCTTCTATGTTACCAAAAACGACGTTACTTCAGTTCTCAACCAACCGAAACTTCTTAACCCTTCGCGCGACATTTCCGCCAGCGCCCTCAACCCTGGCTGTCGAAAACTCAGGCCACCATATCCGTAAGCGCTTCCGACAATAGAGTCACAACCTCAGCATGGGAATTCGCAACTGCGCAGGAAAGAGCCGTGCAACCTTCATGGTCAGTCCAGTACGGATCCGCCCGAGCTTGCAACAGCAATCGCACCGTTTCGACATGACCCTCCGCAGATGCGAGAATAAGAGCTGTGCGATTAAAGATTGTGTCGGGCTTGTTGATGTCCACGCCGGCTTCCAGCAGCAACCGCGCGATCTCAGAATGGCCCTGAGCACAGGCCGCAGTAAGAGGTGTGTGGGAGGGCTGAATCTCAACGAAGCCATCCTCGGTTGCGCATAAGCTTGATGTCGATAAAGTCTGGAAAAAACTGTAGTTGGGGTGTAGCCTGCAGCAGCGTGCGGACCATCTCGACTCGCCCGAGCCAACATGCAAGAGTGAGAAGAGTACGACCAGTTTTACTTCGATCCATATTGCAGATATCTGCCCCAGCTTCCACCAACAGGCCAGCGATCTCAACGTGCTTGTGATGAACGGCGTACGCAATAGCCGGCAAGTCATGTATGCCGCCTGTTGTGTCTGGGTCAGCGCCAGCTTCCAAGAGTAAACGCACAATTTCGACATGGCCATTGGCACATGCACCAGTCAAAGCTCGATGGCGGTCCTCGTCGTCGCGCATGTCGCCAAAGCTTGCGTGAGCACCCGCATCCAACATGCAACGAAGAGTCTTACTGTGACCCTGCGACGCCGCATAGCCAACTAGCTCATTGGCAATCTCGCCGAATGGCTCCCACGAGCTATCAGGTAACTGCGACAATACCACCAGCTGCAGGTCAGCAGGCTCGTGCAGCTGAGCATCATCGTCCAAACAAGTGCCTTCTGAAGGCATACAGGGAAGCCGCACAGTTCACGCAAGTGCTCTTTCAACACGTGCACGACACGGAGCTCCGTTGTGTCCACCGCGGCTAAGTGCTGTCCGGACATATCCCAGACGTGCAACATGTTGCAGCTGGGGGCGGCAGAACAATTGCGGACTGAAAGCAAGTGCCAAAACTGCATGCTGAATGAGGTTGTGCTCCATCATCGGCTGTAGGTGAGAATAAAACTACTTTTGTGCCATTTCTCACTGCTCGAGAACTCCTCCTTCCTGTAGTTCCTGAGCCCACAGAGATGTGGGCAACCTTTCCACGCAGTTTCGGAATGTGCTAAGACCTTGCAACGTCGGCCAAAGCAAGAAGACAGCGATGTACTCCGAGACAAAATCATGCTTGACCGAGATGCCATATGGGTAGTTGTCTACATTAGGGTCCCGTTTTAGGTCCCCAATATAGTACGGCACCCTTATGAAAAGGACACCCAAAAGGGACCCCAATTTAGAGAACTACCCATATATTATAGCAAGCAACTTCTTTGCGGCTCTGACTTCTGCTCTCAACCCACGAAGACTTAGGCCCTGACCCATAGTAGGGGACTTATAACCATGCATATAACTAACTACCCATGAACCTCCCGGTACTCTAGTAGAGGTTGGGAGAACTAAATTAGGGTCCCTTTTCGGGTCCTTTTTACAAGGGTGCCGTACTAGATTTTGGACCAAAAAAGGGGGCCTAACTTAGAGAACTACCCATGTAGCAAAGCAAGTCCCACAAGCTTCCTGAGGCTCCAGAAGCCCATCTGCAGGTCAGTCGGAACAGAAAATCGAAATCCTGCAATTCGGGTCTATTTTGGGTTTTTTTCCCTCTCGCATGGCTGAGGATCTATGCCCACAAGCGAGGTGGAAGAGAGCAACAACGATTTTGGGTTTAGGGTTTAGGGTTTGTATCCGAGTCCCGACTCTCTAGCTAATGCTAGGTTCCGCGAAAAAAGCACCTAAGAAAGGAGACCCTGTCTGCTCTTCAGCAGTCTTCGGAAATACTGGTGATGATATAAACCCTGCATTACCTTAAGGACCCTAACCTATGGGATATTCCTTCTTCTGGGATCCTGCATATCATCAACCGTGAGGCCGTAAGGAAACCCCAACATCCCCCAAGTACAGAGGGATCCGACGCTGTCAGCTTAAAAACCCCAAGCCTTCAACCGTAATGTAGGGGCCTGGATAAGCACTACGACGATTTTTTGTAAGATTCCTTACTGTGCTTAAAGATGACTCCGAGAAGCCCCATTCTAAATATTAACATCCCTTCTTCAATCCAAATTATCACCGTCCGTTTCCTCGACAACCTACAATACATCCCGTAACCTATCAACCTAAACCCTAAACCCCTAAACCCAACGGAAGTAGCAGGAACAAGTAGGCACCGTCTGAAATGCCAACAAGGATCCGCCACAGACTGCGGCTTGGATCCAGTGGTTTTCAAAGCCACGATCTCCGGCGGCTGCCTGAAGAACGACCAGTCGTGTAAAGATTTCCTAGCACGTGTGGGGTTTAGGCCCTAAGCCCTAAGCCCTAAACCTCGCAACTCGGACAAGCCAGACGAGGATCTTAGTCACAGGTCGGCGTGATACAAATAAGTGGTCAGCTAGGGTTTAGGGTTTAGAAAGAGTCTTGGTCCTTAGCGCAAAGAGCTGCAAACTTGAGTCTGTTAATACGTAGAAAAAAGGTTAAAGGTAACCGCAGGTAACCTTCCCAGCCCCTCTGGTTGCAGGTCTTCCAACCCTGAACCGCCTCAACCCTAAAAAGCGGTCACTTGCACGGCTCCTGAACGCCTTTGCAAATGCTGAAGCTCCCTGCCCTGACGAGCCCTGCTTTGGCGCAGAAGTGTCTCTCGGTACGGTATGTGCTGAAATTATGGTAGGAATTTGTTGTGCATGAACAAAACGGTTAACGCTTTCCTACCCAGCCCCCAGCAAAACTGTAGACTTCTCCGAGACCAATGAAGCCCAGATGCTTGCCATCACCGAATTGCATCTCGACGCCTTTCTTAAGCCTCGGCACCATAAGGTCTGACTCGGGAGGCTCAGCCCCCGCGTTGCAATCATTTCCGTGAGAACCCTCATTTTACATCCAATGCGTCACATTGGAACACGACCCATACGGCAATTTGCCATCGTCCTTGGGGGCTGGAAATGATTGTGAGTGACATTCCGCAATCATTTAGCCCCCCAGCCCGCCTGGGAAGTGGTGATGTGATTCCAAGCAGCACCCCCTGCTTGGAGGTCCACAACTTCGGAGCATTTTTCATTAGCTGACGAGGTTGTGCTACAGGGAACACAGTCGTTCGCTGAGTGGCAAGAACCAGGAAGCCGACCTGTAAGTCTCAAATCCACAGAGCCTGCGGACCCTGAACCTAGACCCTAAGAAAGGACAAATAAGCCCTAACCCTAAACCCTAAACCTAAACCCTAAGAAAGGACCAAATACCCCCAAACCCGAAACTCTAAATGACCCTAAACCCTAAACCCTGAGAAATGACCAAATACCCACCACACCCTCAACTCAAAAGAAAACCCCGAAGCCCTGACCCTTGAATCCCAACTCTTTCGACCCCGACCTGCGCTCTGAAGAACCTACGTTTTCTTGGAGGGGATCCTTACTACGGTTGATGATGAAAATCGGGGTTTAGGGTTTATGTAGGGGTTTAAGGGTTTAGGGATTTTAGGGATCCTTACCTACGGTTGATGTTCAGGGCAAGTTTAGGGTTTAGGGTTTAGGGCCAGTTTAGGGTTTAGGATATCAATCCTGCATGACCCATCATAAGAAGTTATACCATAAAATCCCCATAGTTTAGGGGTCCTTAAGGTAGTGCAGGATTTAGATCATCAACAGTATGATGTCCTTATAACCGTCCTCAGAAGAGGTAGGTTCTCTGGGGTTCAGGACCCTGAAGAACCTACTTTTTTAGGGATCCTGACTATTTATAAGTTCCTTACTATGATTTCCTTATAACCGTCCTGAAAAAGGTAGGTTCTTTGGGGTTAATTATCGGATCCTTAAGGGAGGGTGGTTCAAGCAAAGGGAGCCCTAGGGAGAATTGGGGATTACTGGGTTCTATACCCCCCCCTCGTTTTAAGGATCCCATGGTTCTTTGGGGTTAAGGTAAACCCTATCAACCCTATAATAAACCTGGTTTCCTTATAAACCGTCCGTTAAAAAGGTAGACTCTTTTGGGTTTTAAGGTAAAACCCCAGAACACCAGCGATCCAAGCGACAGAGCGATGGAGTCTTCGGAAAGGAAACCTCGCGCTTCCTCTTCAAGTGTTCTGACAATGATAATTCTGGCAATAACAGTTATACTAATAATAATAATCATCATCATAATCATAATAATAATGATTATTATATAGTAAATATAATAGTAATTAAAGAAGTATCATGATCATAACGTTAATCGTAAAAAAACAAAAGAAGTCACAAGGCTCTCATTCGGTCTTGTAGTATAGGTGTTCCACTGTGATGCATTTTGAAAGGGTGTCAAGGCTGCTTATACGTCCTGCAATTTCGGAAACTGGATTCCTGTAGGGAGCTGCTCATGGCTATATGGGTCCGCAGGACTCAACCCCATACATCACCTCAAAAAGGGAAGAAGCTTTAAGCCATGAAGTACTGTTCATTATGACATGACAACGTTTCGGGCTTTGGGTATGGGCCTTTGAAATTGGACCAGGGTTTCGAGCCATGTTGTACTGTTCTTATGAAGGAACAATACGGCCTGGTATGTAGGGCTTTACGGTTCTCACCAACGCGGATTCAACCTGCGCTGTGCAGTTTGTTACGAAGGGGCCCAACATGACGACGTAAAGACGAAGACCTGTTGGCCTCGGTTTCCTGCCACGTTGATTATCTCTCTGGTTCTTAGAAGGGAATGGGGGAATGGGTTATTGGGACTACTATAGGGGACCTTAAGGGGACTATCATAGGGATCCATTCCCCCATTCCCTACCAAGAACCAGAGAGTTATAGGATACTCGTGTCCCTGCACAAGTGAGGCCTTATACGAATCCTGCACCCAACTCGCACCTCATCGAGTTCGCGCAGGGCACATGCCAGTATGCCCTCACCAGGTTCGACTTTTCCACCGAGGTCCTCGTTGAGAGCTGTGGGTGGAATCAGGGTTTAGGGTTTTGGCGAAGGATTCAGGATTGCTGGCTGTTTCACTGGATTACCCATATGCTCCTTAGTAGTTTTTTTTTGTGTTCTTCATGTGGGATTCTATAAGGTAATCCCAAAACGGAGCTACTAAGGAGCCTATGGGTAATCACAACAACCATCGAACAGCTCCGGCCCCCTGGTGGAACTTCTACCCATCCGCAGTGCTTCCCAGCATGAACCTGCCGATGTCTGGAAGTCGCCTTACACGGGCATTGATCGCCTACATTCGGGCTTCCTGTAAACACCCTGAACCCCATTTTGCTCTGAAAAAATCCACACTTCAACGGGCCCCCAAAATCTGGCCAGGCGTGGCTCAAAGCCCACGCTAGTGGCCCTAGTGCGCGAATCGGCATCCGAAGTCATAACAGATCTGCTGGCGAATTTTGGCAACCCTCCCTGGCCCCTGAACCCTTTCTGCTATAAGTCCCCTTGAACTGGCTTCCCCAAGACTTCTTGCAACTACAGGAGTTACATAAGAAACAGCAAACTGTATCCCTAAACCCTACACCTTAAGATATTCAGACAGGTGAGGGCTAAGGCAGCAAGGTGCAGAGGTGGCTTAGAGCGTGAGAGGTTTGTGGGGCTTTGGGCTTAGGATTTCTGGCCTGTTCGGACGTAGTAATCAAGTATAGCATCCAAACCGTCGAAGGGCAAGCACGCACAGATTGATTGTCACATCACATCAAGAAGGTATCTACAGGAGTCGAACCGGGATTTTAATGGGATACTAGAGGCACTACTGTAAGCTCAGCTACTCTATACATGTGTTACTTTAAGGGCTACTATGAGGAGAGGACTAAAAAAAACCCGAATTCAAAGCCGTGCCGGGCTCCCCCACGCTCCACATCAGCGACTGCTCCTTCATCTCTTGTATGACTAAGACATCTGAGCCGCCTTAGCTTTTTCCAGGGGCTTGTTCCTGCTTGATGCAGGATCAATGCAAGGGCTCTATCGGAGTCTATCGGTTGTGAACAGAGCTCTTTTTGGGTTTTTTAATGGATTTCAGACATCATAGCGGGGCTCAGAAGCATGTAATTTGTGTAGGCAGACAAAGTTTCGGACTGTGGCGCCTATAGCTATAGTGAGTATGAATGTCTGGTGAGTCTAGTGCAGCTGCCCTACAAAATAGTATCTTGGGTAAGGCGTTGAAAAGCCTTACGGTTTCTGGGTTTTGGATTTGGGAGGGAGTTCGAATCTTAGGTTTACGGCTTCGCTTCGGGTTTACATGGTTTGTGAATGTTGTGCAATAGAACTTTAAGGGTTTGGGCTTCAAGGGTTTCTTTTAGGGATTCAGGCTTTAGGGCTTTAGGGTTTAGGAGTTCAAGGTTTAGGTTGCTTTTTGAACGACCCTTCTTCCCGCCGCCAGATGTCTCAAAGGTTTAGGGCTGAGGACTTGAGGGTTCCGGCATGCGTTTTATATCTTAGAAGCTGAGTTCATAAGCACAAAGTGTACACTTTCAGTTCTGTATGGGGTCATAGTATCCCAAAACAAAGTCTACTCATTCAGCTACTAAGCTATCAGCGATCAAGCACTGTCAAGAACTACTATCGTTGCGTACTCGGGCTTTTGAGTAACCTAGCGCCTTTTACAACTCCACACTTCTGTCCAGGAGTCGGAAGAGCATCAACGCAGCCCGCTTTACCTGAAAAGTCGGATGAGGCTGCGGGTTTGCATAGTTCAGAGCTCTTGATAGTTGTTATAATGGGTTCCTACAAGGGTACTATGCTGGTTTTGTCAGGGTTCTACCCGAGGTCTAGGATTTTTTTGCAGTTTACGGGGTCTCAGAGGTAGACCCTAAACCCTAAGCCAGAGGTGTTTAGGGCTCACAAGGGATCAGTGCTTGTCCTGAGGTCGTTGAAGTCTGCCCCAATAGAAACACATGTAACCTTGACCCCCGATTGACGAGCTTCGTTTCTTTCAGGGTTTAAAGTTTAGGGGCCTAATTATAAGATTGGGACCCCCATTATCATCCTTATCAAGTGAGAGGTGGTTATCTGTCTATTATCAGCTCTCTTCATTAACGTTTGGGGTGTCGGTGTGTAACTACGATTGCTCCCTTAAGCAACCTCCTCTTAACAGCATGCTCAGATGCGGGTAGACGCCTGGTACACCCACCCCAAGCTGCAGTCGTGCCTGGGTTGTCCTAACTCCAGCTTTCTTGTGAAAAAGTACATAGGCCAACAGGAGCGCGGCACAATAACGACTTATCTGGTCCCTAAATACCTAAAGCCCATCAAACCCTTCAACCTCTTAAACCCGAAACCCCAAACCTTGAACCTTAAACCCCATAATCTCAAACCCCTAAACCCTGAACCCTAAACCCAAAAAAAACCCATAAAACCCTATAAAAACCCTATAACGCCCTGTAAAACCCTGTAAAACCCTATAAAACCCTCTAAAGCCCTATAAACACCCTAAACCTCTAAACCCCATAAAAACCCTTTAAACCCTAAACCTCTAAACCCCTTAAAGAACCCTGAAGCCATGCCTGGGGGACCCTAAGCCTTGAGACCAGCCTGGGAGTCTCCCAAGCCTTGCTTCGCAGCGGCTCCACCTGCGGTTTAGGGTTTTTTTTGGATTTAGGGTTTCGGGTTTTTTTTGAGTTTAGGGTTTAGGG